GACGACGACGACGACCACTACTTCTTTTCTACTGCTACTAAAAGTAATAATAACCCAAGTAATTAATAATGACCATACGACTCCCGCTTCTATTGCTACTCCTCCTGGTAGTGCGACCACGATCTTCTAGGGCAGCATTCCGCTCCAACAGAGCCACCTACGTTTCCACACTGTACAATGTCAAGTCACTGTCAAGCCTGCAAAGTCTGGCTCGGCCCTACAGCCGCATGATCCGAACCCTCGGCGCTACTCTGCTGCTCCTCAACGCAGGCTATGTGGCTGAGTGGACATGTAGAAGCACATCCAGATGTCGACTGCAGGCTCTCCGTCCTAGGGATAGCTGGAAACAATTAGGCTGATTCCTTCGCTATGGAGAAATGGCTACACTTGTATGCCTGATGATTGCACATGTATGTATATGTCATGTATGGGTGCGTATGTGCGGTTTGTGTGTGCGTGTGTGTGTGTGTGCGCGGACTTCCTAGGTACTTGTTTTGGACAACATTTCATCTGTAGACGTACTCTTCCTGTACTCAACTGTTCAGTTGTAGCCGTGCAGCCTCAGTCGTGGCTTCGGCAGTTGTTCAGAAGCCTCATGGTGCCTGTACTTGCTGGCACAGTAGGCCCTCAAGGTTCACGTCACTCTGAGTAGTGTATTGATTGTAGCTGGCCCTCCTCGCTCCTGTGCATCCGCACGCTTCACCCGAAAAACCAGCGATCGGGAGCTGGCAATCTCCAAGGTGTGCCCCGTGGAGCGCAGTACGGCGATGGCACGCCTTCCCCAAAACACTTGTTTTCCCCACGTTTAATGTTACCAGTGCGATTGCCAGGTTTGTTACATATGGTATGACTAGCTAGCCTTGTTAGTACAGAGAGTTAGTGTCAGACAAGAGCGAGAGTAGCAGACGGAGGATCATCAGCGGCTGTAGCCTTCTTCCGACGTCATGCCCTGCTACATATATATATATATATATATATGAAATCAACACGTCCCGGAGACAAGCGCAAAAGCATCGGAAGGAGAAGTACCAGCAGCAGGAAGTGGAAGATCAGACTTCATTCATTGCATGATGCTGCCCAATTGCAAGAACTGCCTGACGCGTCTGCCTCCCCACACGGGTGAGCACGTCTTGTCGGTCAAACAGATCCATACGCAAAGTGGCTGTATGCTGTTGGTATACTTGATAAGGCAGGCAGTGCTAGCCGTGGTGGTGTTGGTGTTGGTGGTATTCGACGTCGCCACAATCCGGCAATACATCATAGCCTCACTGACTCATAGCTACAGGGAAATCAGTAAGCAGTGGTGGAAGCAATCGGAAGAACGACACTTTGACATCGGCATTACTGCCATTGCTACACCGCTATCTTCATCAGTAGCCAGCCACCCTCATCTTCATCACCGCTACATCCGCATTTGATTACGTCCTTGTTTGCATCATCCCCTGGGCCCTGACAAGACCCACACCTGTAAAGCGTGAATCTTACGCACCAAAACCTTTGTGTTGGTGAGGGTGGGGGCAAACGAAAGCTCTTACGACCATCATCATGGGCTGCTGATGACGAAGGGTGCGATGCTCCACATGAACAACGTGAGGCATCTGGGACTGCAGAATACTGCAGACCTCTACGTCCCGGGTTGGTTGTTCGGAGCGATGTTTCGGACACGGTTTAGGGTTTAGGGTCACGGTCTGGAGCGGAGCTGAGGTCTGGTCTAGGTTCGGTTGTTGAGGCTTACATCGTATAGGCCCATTAACTTATTGACCCCTTGGGAAAGTGGACATCCCTGAGCCCAGTCACAAGCCCTCATGCCCCGCCTGCGGGCCCTTAATTCGATAGCTGGTTACCAGGAACATCTAAGTCTTAACCCAAACGTAGGCAGTTAGATCTAGGTGGGGCCGCAGCAACACCACTGGTTTTTTACTGTTCTGCCCTTCTCGATTGGGAAACTCTCGCAATTGTCGATGTTTCACCCGTCCTGTGATTTCAATAGCCACAACAGCAGTCGTTGCCTCGTGTAGAAGTACATGCTTTGTCGGGTTTCCGGCACTGTTTCATACTTTGGACATGTCCGCTTTTTCTTGCATGCAGGTGTACTTCCGCCCAGGGCCAAGGATGGCGTTTCGTCCCGAAGCATCCGTGGCTCGTCCGTTCGTGCTAGAGCAGCCATGGGTCAACCATGAGGACGTCCATGCGACCAGAGCATCCATGGCACAAACATGATGACGTCCGCGGGGCCAGCGCATCCATAGCCCAACCATGACAAAGCGCATGGGCCACTGCGTTCGTTCCAGCCAGAGCATTCATTGGCCCATTGGCCAACCGTACTGATTTAGATTGGAGATCGTGAGCCACCGAAATCCGAACGAATGACGCGGTCTGCTGCTTGTCCGTGGGAGCTCGTGTGAGCTGAAGCCCCGCTGATGGATCCATCCTTTCTCAGACCCTCCGGTTACTCCGAAGTTTACCAAAGTCCCCCGGTCTTAACTGATGTTCTCTGGGCCAGCCAGAATTTCTTGATTCGTCTGCCAGGAGCTGGGGCCGGTCTAGGAGTCTAAGCAGCGACCCAAACATGACACATCACGGCCTCATGTGGAAGCTGACGTGGGAGGGCTGCGCGGCTCCCAACGCTGACGCCTCGTCCGGGTATCTTGTCTGACATGAAACAACATAAAAAATGTCAACATCCCCATCACACTCACCATGACTACCAGGGAAGAGGCGGCATGACCCCCTGCCCTTGGCCAGCTAACTACTCAGCTGGCTGGAGGCACAAACCAAGCTGAAGTTTCGGCTGGCCAAGCGTTACTTTTGACTTGGGAACGGAGCACGCGCTCGGCTCGGTGCACGCGCAAATAACTAGTCACCCCTCGGTGTGAGGAACGTCGGCCAGGCTCAATTGCGAACCCAAACCCATACTTCAGAACATTTGTTGATGCACGTCTGAACTGATGCCCAAACCCAGTCGGCAATGAAGACCACGGTGGTGTTGCGCGACCTAGCATCACCCAGCGCTCAGTATGGGTCGTAGCGCTTGCCCTTTCCCTTTCCCTTGCCCTTGCCGGAGTCATAGCTGCTGCTATAGCC